AAACAAAATTACGTTCACTTAAGTAACTGCAAATTAGTGAAAATTATTTGTATTTACAATCGAGTAGTATCCACTGTCATTGTATTTAAAATTTATACTTTTGACAACTAAAGGGAAGTTTACCTCCTTTATATTATTAAAATACTAAAACCGATAAATTTATTTCAACTATGACTATTGAATAATAATTCAAGCAAGTCGAACAGTTTACATTCATTAACCGTTTGCGTTACAAACTATTAGGTAGATACCGCGTCCCATGCCTGTGTTCGATAGATTAAAAAGTATATCGAGCCTGTTACCTTCGTTTAAGTAACTTCAGCTTTCCTTGCGGGAGATTAATTGGCACAAACTGATAATACACGTAACACACTAAGATTCCCAGGAAGAAAATCAACACGTCTCAACGACGGTTTCTCGCTAATTAGCGACTGACTTACGAGACAAATGCTAAACAGATGATAACAGAAGGAATTTCCTGTTAAAAAAATATTACTTAATTAGATAGATTTTTGTTCGATCTTCGTGTATTTCAGGTTTATACATAATTTGTTTATATTTTTACGTAAAACATGAGAGTAATGTCAATGCAAACAAATATGAATACTATAACTAATGGGTAATTAATGTCAACGATGGTTCAACTATATAATCATTCAAAATAAAGAATGGGGTTCGAATATAGGTAATCAGAGCATTTTTCTTAAACGAAATTACCATGAAAATAAGATGATTATAGAATAAACTGTAAACGACCTTCCAATAGTTTTTTTAATTAAAAACTATTCTTTATTTTTAGAATTTTATTAGAAGCATTAACTCTTTGTTCAACATATTTCATAGAAAGTATAAACAAAATGGATTAAGGTAAAGTATTTTTAAGTTTAGTAAATTAAAGAAATTCTATTTTTAAAAATTGTTTATATTTAAAAAATTGATTAAACTAAAGAAATTGTATTTTTAAAAATTGCTTTTTATGTACAACTATGAAATTATGTTTCTAACACAAATACCATCGAATTATGTAAATAATTCCATTTTTTACAAACCAGCAATTGATTATATTTAATTTGTTAGTACGTGAAATGTTTGTAAATTGTTGATGAAAAACTAAAAGTGATTACATACATGATAGCGAAAGAATCTCGTTCATATCTGCTTCAGAAAAAAGCATTTAATAAATACATGTTAAGTATGCATATACCGCACGATAAAGAAAGTAACATTTGATTAAGAGGAAGTAAGATTATCATTTACTTTACTGGGAATCGAAACATATCAAATCGTATTGCCAGTTAAAATTTTTTATTTCTCACATCATTACCGCTACTATTTATTGAACGCGTCAAATTGCACGCATATTGAATTGTGTAAATGTCATTTGGCAAATGTTTACGTCGATTTTGATTAATAGAATTACATGAATTTTTAGAATTAATAGAATAAACTCTATAATAAATATTCGTATTATAATTAACCTAGTGTTAAAGCAATGCTAATAAACGAAGTATGTAAGTGTGCTTAACGTAATGTAACTTTAAATGATAAGTGAGAAGAAATATAAAATAAAATTATTGAAAAAGTAACAAAACAGTTGAATATATGTAGATACCATTCTTAAGCCTCAATATTAGAGAGAGTACGAGAACAGTTATATAATTTTATTTCCAAAAATATTTGCGTCTTGAATATGAGATTAAAGGACCTTGTTTCCTGTCTTTGCAGCAGTGTCTGACAACTTCATAAATCTTTAATGGCAGAAAAAAGATAAGAACAGTAGTTGTTTCTTTCCTATTACCAAATTTTCTTGTTGAAGTTTATAGTGGAAAAAAATAATTGCAAACTCAAAACCAAAGATGGGTACCTAGATTAAAGATCACGTAATGTATTATATAATTAAATTGAATTAAATATAGCTTTTTATTTTTAAGGTAAATAAATTATAAAAGCAACAATTTACAATTATTATATTTAGAAATCATGAAATACTAGATAAATATTGTCTGAAAATAAATTGCGTCCGTAATTATAAAATTGAAGCTTGCTAAAGGAATAATGAATAAATTTTCATCATGAAGGTGGAAACTATAGATCCTATGTAGGTAAATCTGCCACTGACAGTTTTAGTTATTTACGTATTTTGTGACGATAGAATTTCAAAACCCTGATACCTGTGAATTTTTCAAAGTATGTATGTAGTCTATAGATTACGTCATTCACTGCAACATGATTAATTTCGTAACGAAATGTTTTTCATTACTGTTACATTTAGTAATTGTTATTAGTTTGAAATATTAAATTTTATGGATACAACTGTTATCGTTTATAATTATTCAAACAATTTGACAAATGGATAAATGAAAAATAGTATCTTCTCTCAAAACAATTTAAATTTAAATGGTTTAAAATTTCCATATGATTTATCATAAGATTTGTTGCTATTTTTAGCAATAATTTCTATTAGACTATTATTATTAATCGATAATATCAGAATCACTACTGTAAATCTTTGTAAATCGCTATAACGTAAATAAATGCTAATATGATATTTCTATTGTTTGTAAATACATTATTACAGAAAAATGAAATATTATACACTGCAATACATTATTTCGTGATTGTTAATTTTTCATTTATAGTTAGTTATACACAGTAACCTTATCGCACTAAAATTCTCACGAATTACATCACGAATTACTGATTTGCACACTGCGATTATGCACGTACTTTGTCAACAATTTATGAAGATTCTTTTACAGAAAATGGATCAAATAAGGGTTTCTTTACTTGAGTAGGGTTTGCTATAATAATTAGATTTTGAGTAAAATATATTTCTTACATTTTTCTTAGTTACCAGCCTAACATTTAAATAATCACGAATATCAATGTATAAAATCGACAGGCCACTAACTTAAAATTATTCTTGGCAATATTATCAAAAAACGACATTGCTTTACCAAGAAGCATACATCATAATTCATATCACAAATTGCTATAAAGTACAATAAAGAGCAGCATTATCACATATATAAACAAATATCTACTTCTCAAATATCATACTTGCAATGCTACAAATATACGCATATAATAAAGCAGTAGTGTCGATAGTAAAAATATAAATTAGAGGTTAATTAGTTAATCGTTAACACGTTATCCACCACGCAAGCTGTGTATCAGATAAGTGTCATTTATTTTATTCGTATCAAAGGTACATATTAATAATAACATATAATTGTCACAGCATGACAATCAATATTATGTCGAAAATTTGTGTAACATCAATTATCAAAACTTTTTGGAAAGTCGGTTGATATTTTAAATGGAACGAAGTAACAGCATAAGTTAAATGACCCTCTTATTAACCATACAAGAATATAATACTTCTTTACAAGAACTGTTTATTAAAATTTTAAAATACCTTCGTACAATAAATTTTTACAATTAATTTGCAATAAAAATTTCATTTGGCTCAATTCCTCCTTTTAATTTCCCTGTGCCGACAGTGCCATTTATAAATGAATGAATGAATATGAATTAAAAACACTATTTTCTGTTTATTTAATATTCCACCTCGGCCAATGTATGACTTTATGGCTCTATAAATTTTAGACGTTCAATGAACAACTGCGGAAACATTTATTTTGTAACCGAATCTTGTTAGTCCCTTTGTTCTTCTATCAAAGAGTGAAATCTACAATTTATATATTAATTACTAATGTTAAACTACTATTTACAGAACAAGCAACTAATAATAAATGAATTGAAAAACTAAAATTCTTACACTTGATTGTGAATCTGTTACATTTATCCCTTTGCTCTATGGTGTGTCAGACTCATGAACAAAATTTTAAACCAACTTAAACAAATCCAAATGTCATCTACTATTTGTATATAAATTAAATGCCACTCTTCTATTATCAGTCGTTAACCTCTGAAGTAAACGTTGACACGAAGAATAAACATGAAATTATTGTCATTTTTAATAGATTATTAACACTAGAACTACCGCACCTGTCAAAATGACAAATTTCAAATTTCTTATTTCGTAATTATTAACAAAAATAGTTTCCCCTGAATACTATAATCAATATATGAAGAAACCGAAAAAAATCTATTGTCACAATTTTCATAAGAATTACATATTAATGATGTTAAACACGCGGTTGTTCTAGTCTTAACAACAAAATAGTTTTATCAGACACAGATATAAAAAAACCATAAAATGAGGTGTTAACACTAGGTTTAAAGAACGCGTCAATTTGACGCACACTGAATTTTATAAACACTATTTGGTAGAAGTTCATATAAATTTTTATTAATGCAGTTATACAAATAATCTTTATTATTTATTTTTAAATTCCTAATTTCCAAAATCCAAATGAACGAACATCAACTTATCTAAGAACAATAGAATAAATTATACAATAAATGTCCATAGAGCTTGTATTAACACTAACCGTACTGCGAACGGTATTTATTAAAATTTGATTAAAAATTCTGCGTTTTCTTTCGTTCATTTAACATTAATCAATTCCTCTATTCCTCGATTAATCAGTTTCTCAATTTTTGTCTTTCCGTATGTTTCTGTTTCCACCAAGAAAAATTGATCATCTAACTTCTTTACCTTTCTTTTGTAACCAGTTATTTGACTAGATACGATAGTAAATAAGTGTATACAAATTGCTGGTGCGGTTAGTGTTAACACATTGTTTACCGACAACTTTATGCAAAAGCTAAATAAACTTCAATATACTTTATTCATACAAAATGAATAGAAATGAAACTTTAGACATATCTTTTACATAACTTTGAATATTTTGTTTTCAATGTTCTATATTGCACTGCGTTTCAAAAAGTGAAATAGCTAATGCAAATGCAAACGCGATTTAACTTGTAACAACAACGTGTTAATAACGTAATAAAGACCATCAACCGATGATACACGAACAGGGACATTTATATCAGTATCCGCAAGAGCAAGGTATCTCCAAATCTCTTACCTGCCAACCTGTCCTTAAGGTGCGGGTGTCCCTGAAAGGGATGTGCGGCGAGGTTTGCGAGTAAGCTCGCCCTGTGGAGGCCAGCGGCCGCCGCTTGCTGCTGGCTGTGTTGAAGGGCTTGTAAACTCCACGGCGGTATCAATGCCTGTGCCGGCAGTGCTCCCGCGGTGGTGCCATTAGCACCCGGCGGTCGGTGCGCGGGGACTCTTATTACACCACCGCCCGTGTAAATCAGACCAGTTCCGGTCGGGAAAAGCCTGAACGGCGCCAAGAGGTCCGCGGCGGTCGAACAGTGGACCGATGACGAGGAGTTCGTCTGTGTTTCCGGTGTGCTGCCCGTGTCGTCGTCATCCTTCTCCGACAGCTTTTCCTCTATCTCGTGGCCCCAGGATCTCCGGCCATCGTCTAAGGTCATCGAAGAGCTACCATTGTTGTTGCCTTCCTCCCAAGACCACTTCCTCTCCTTATCGCTGTCCAAGTCCTCGGAGGAAGGACTCTTTGGGTTCTGCGATCGGCTTTCGCCCAGCAGACGGCTTATGCTGAACGGATGACTCCTCGGCGACTCGTTCTGTAACGTCCGCGAGCTGGTCTGGCTCGGCGGCGGGGAATTCGAGCACTCCGAGTGCTCGCGCGGCAGCCGACGAGCGTCGCTCGCGTAATCGTGCGGACCGCAGCTTCCGGTGTCCGAGTCGTCCACGTTGATCTCCTCCGTCGCGTCCACGTCGCTGTCCCCTTGAACTGACATGATTCTCCCCAGTTACAGTCTCTGATCGATTCTGATCGTTCGATTGGCGATTTTACCGCGATTCTCGTTCACCATGGACCACCAGCGAGTCTCATTCTGCGCGGACCCACTGTGCTTACCGGTCCCCTGAACACCGAAATATCGAGCGAGTACTGAATTCGATTCAGCCGCCTCTCACTAGCTTGATCACACTTATCCTTTTACTCGAAGAATAAAAACTCGCGACTGCCTCGCATCCTCATCCAACATTCGAACCACTACGCATTCTCGACCGATTGACGGCCATGTTGTCCGCGGATCCTTGCTACCCTTGTCCCCCTCGCCGAAGGAGTTCAAAGAGAACCTCACTGGTAGGACACTTATACTCGATCGTTGTCATCAACGCAATAATCATTCATCGTAACGCGAAACACAGGTCACCACAGCAGCGGTCCACTATCCTCCAATGTTCCTATAACACTGTCAGTTCACTTGGGTACCGTGAGCCGGTACCAAGAATACATCCTTCGGACCATTAACGAATGCCGAAACGATCGATTAGGAGACTGGTTACATCGGAAACTCTCACGATCCCCGAAAATCGTTGCTCGGTACTCCACTGGTCCTTTGGAAGCTGAGTATATACACCCTTGATCAAAGATACTACAAAACTTTTGGGCAACGGGTGCAAAGGGCGCGAAGGGTGCACCGAAAATTGACGAGTGGCTCACGTGGTCCTCGGAAGGGCTGTGCTCGTCCGTAACTCAATCCGTGGTGAGATGGGACGTGGATTCAGGTCGGTCGCGACAAGAGAGACGGGACGTAGTGAGGAGACCAGAGAAACCAGATGGTTCATCCCTACCACGGTACTGCGGCGACTCGAGCCGCGCTCGGTTGCGCGGCATCGCCCACCACCGCTGGCCCGGCCAATCCCCGGCTGGAGGGCACCGCCCACCTCCGCGCCGATTGGGCGCTGTTAAATTGATACCTATTTAACATTTGAGCAGAATGTTGCAGGCGATCGCCTTTTTCTCCTATATTATTTATTGCCCGATCGTCGTGCCTCCTTTTTTCTCTGCGCTGGCCCGCGTTCCTCCTGGTTCCTTCCTCCCACCAGCCCGGCATATACCAGCCGGCTTGTCCTTCGCCCTTCTTCTCCCTTCCTTTACCCCCCGTCGCCCCCGCCCTCGGGCCGTTCTCCACTCCTTCTCCGGTGTATCCGGACGTCCTCGTTTTCTCGCTGCGAGACGCGCCACATTGAGTTGAAGAAGCGGAGGGACTTAATTACGACGAATATCCTTTTGGCCCCCACCATGTCTACGCCCGGCCACCCATCTCCGCCCTCTTCGCTCCCCTTTTTTCTCCAAGCCGCGCGTCCTTCCCATTCTTTCTCGCCGTGCGCCTAGTCTCTGACCCTTCTCGTCTCGACTCCTTGTATTGTCAAGGGTCCCGGCATACTTACGTATGAAACACTATCTTCTATCCGAGGTTCGAATTTTCCGGTAGAACTGCCGCCGGAGACAATGATGCTTCCTGATCGATCGCGGGTCGCCACTCGTCGCTTTGCGATTTCGGTGCGGGACGCGACACGACGCGGCTCGCCGTTTGCGGAGGGCGTAATCGGATTATGGCGGTAACGGTTATCAGCATTATTTTTATGGTTATTGGATCGTAAATATTCTCTGGTTGCTCGTTTGTGTTATGTTATTCGATATGTGTTTGTTTGTTTTGATTGCATTTGTTTGTTTATTGAAGAATTTTGGAAGAAATAGTTTAATGACTGTGCAGAAACCTGCGTAAAAATCCGGGTCGGGTTATCGGGATTTTTGAAATTATACAGAAGGGAATATAGAGTAAGAATGATAATCAAACACTGTTTTATTATGTTTAGTAATATTTTGTTTCTTCATACTTATTTTTACTTAAATCCGTTTCATTTGGGAACCCGACCCAATCCGATCATCAGGTTCCCGACATTTTCGGATTCTCGCACTCCACCAGTAATGATTTTAATGATTTTTCTTATAAAACAAATTTTTTATAAAAGAAGAAATTGTTTCTTTCGTTTAAGTTTTCCTAAATTAATCGTTATAAGTAGAGTACACCGAGACGAATGGGATCAGTGCAGATTTAACAGTGAAAAACTAATAGTTAAAATTGAGAATGAATATGTTTTTCATAAATTCATGATTAATATACATTCAGCTTCAATATCAGGAAAAAATCCTATTCGATCTTAGGAACAAGAAGAATTCTATTTATTACGAGATAATGTTTGCTCTAAAGGTTACGTAATAATAACAAAATATTTGTATTTCATTTCACTTAGGAAAATTGAATAATATTTATATTTATTAGATCCAGTTTGAAATTTGCCCTACGGCTTAACACGATACGGTAGGACAATAAATTTAGGTTTTAATAAACGGAAAATAGTAATAAAAATATAAATGGTATGAAAATGCATTACTAATATTATAAGTTAATATAAATATATGAATGATCTGATGTAATCGGATATAAAAAATCCTATCCCAATGATTGATTGAAGAAGACAATGGTTAGCTTAAGTTAACCCAATACTTTGTCTTTTATCGCAACATTGCAATGCTGTTGCATTTTATACGAGCACATAGGTACACGATGCTCGTAGAATACAACTCAGAGTAAGAAGCGAAAACCAGACACGCCGATTGGGTGAACGAAAAGTTCATGCAGCCAGAACGAATCTTGCGGTGAACCAACTTTTGCATATCTTCTTTACCATGGTTGAACAGAAATTATTGAAAACACGAAATGAAAGGTGATGTTTATGGTGAAGAATTACTCAAATTACTGCATTACGTTTACCGTAACGATTATGATTTAAATAATTTTATTTTTTGTCAAAATTGGAAGTAGATATTAATTTTAAATGATTTCCGATTTTAATTAATTCTTCGAAATTCTTGATTCATTTGATCTTCCACTATAAAAGAATATAAAGAAATAAGATTAATATTTGACAACTTTTAGTGTATACTAATAAATTAATTACAAATAATTTGATATTTCGTACATTTTTCTGATTTTGTTTTCATATTAACAGTACAATACAAAATCCTTCGTCGTCAAATCAAGTACTAAAATATTTATTTGCTGAGACAGAATACCAGACAGATATTGATTAACAATTAAGCGCTATGTAATATCGTGTAAATAACCATTACTTAGATATAGGTATTATTTAAATAACGCCTATACATGTTCTCTACGAGGCATGAGCTACAATTGAGGTGTTATTTTCAAAAGGAAGGATCGATATCGTTAAATTATTATAGAAGAACTTTGTTCCTTATCGATTGACAGTTTCTACAACTTCACAAATGTGTTAGTGTCTTGGATAGTCACCAAAAACAAACAAGACACGCCATTTTCTTCGTCTTATCAAACGGGTTCATCGGAAGATGGTAAATTAAACAACATATTGTTCAGTTTTCAGGCGTTTATAATTGATTATAAATAAAATATGTAATTATTGTATACCGCCGTATTATACAGATTATAAAAATGTTAAAATTGAATATTTTCCATAATGTATAGAAAAATAATATAATGATAATATCACAAACTTTTTTAAATAGTATAGGTATTTATTTACAAACAGCAATATATCTTCAATATCAAATCTAAGAGACTATAAATAACATATATAATAATATCTGAATAGATTACTTCGAAACTAAACAATACACTCGAGTTATTACATAATTAATACATATTCAATTTGCGAAAATTGATATTTCTCATTATCCTATGCGATTCATTTCCACAGAACTCTATTAACTATTCTCAAACAACAAAACACAAAATTGATATTAAATTGTTAAATTTAGAACGTTACAGAACTCCGAAGATTCATATGCAATTAAATGAACATTTACAAAAAAAGAAAATAATTACGTGTTTACGTCGGCGCACTGTGGACTCATTATGCAATATAAAATTGTGTTAAACCGATCCGTCAATCGTCATTCCTTCGCACAAGAATATTCCAATTGACAATTTATTTCAGAGTAATCCGCGTTCAGCTCGTGTTCCGTTGCGCAATAAACATTGCGGTACACGCGTTAATGGTAACAAAATAATTTACCGTAGACGTAGTGGTGAAACTTCGCCGACTTAAGGCCACCTTCTTGCGTTTTGTATTACCGTCTCTTTCACCAACCACTTCTCCAATGGCTAAAGCCGTTACATGGTTGAACCTCGTCTGTGTCATCGAAAATACACATTCAACACGTTTCATATGAATAAATGAGACAGAAATTGTTCATATAAAGCAGTAGTTTCTATACTTTATGTTACTAGTAGAATTTTAGAGGATTTTCTGAAGTATTAAAAACATTTACCATAGAATCTTCGATTGCTTACTTGTAAATGATTAAAACGAAAAAAAGTTATGTAAGACAGACCGATGCGAATCGGATCATTTTCTATTTGACATCGGAGAACAAAAAATACTTGATGTTAATGATGAAAAGCGGAAAAGAATTTTTTAATCTTTCTTTAGCAAATAGGAAACAAAAAATGAGAAATATAATTTGGTATACAACAAATGTGGACTAGAAATTTCTGTCAATCCAATTTATCGTGTAATCCGACTCGCCTCTATTTAGGACATTTAGTTAGATACAGAAAGCTAATATTAATATGGCGATCTAATATTAACCCCTTGTATTAGGATTTATTGCGCAACTGCACTCGTTAGATTCATAGTTAATTTAAGTACTTTAACACGTTCGAATTTGAAATTCCCTCGCGGTGGGCCGTGCATTTTTTATAATTATTTCACGTGACATATTATTCATATAATTTTCACATATTTAGAACCGTAAATAAACCAAACAAAGCATTTTACAAAAAAATCATGTATGTACGATATTTTGATATGACCAAAGAGATTATTAAAAACAGATTATTAAAGATAAACTTAAGGAAAATCTAATCCTGGTACCTCTCCCTTCATTTATTTCATAATATAA